AATAATACTTGCTAATTTTTTTTGAAAAGTAGTATAATTTGAAAAAAGACGTGATTTTAAATCATGTCTTTATTTAATGACATGATTTTGAATCATTTTTACATAACAAAATCAACATTTAGAATCGCATGTTTGATTATTATAAAAACCTAGCTTCTTCTTCTTTTTCTTTCTATAGTCGACACTCATCACCCGTCAAAACCTAAAACACTCAGCCTCTCCTGCTTCAAATTATCAAGAACAACTACCTATCATTTACCAAAACACTGAAATTTTCTTTCCCTCGTCTCCTCTATCTTTTCTAGTGTTTTTTCAACAAACTCTGTTAGCCTAATATCCTCATTTAGTCTTTCTGCCATAACCATTGATCGAACCACCATAAGTTATCGATAAATTACTATATTTCTCATAATTTTATGGGTGTCATTTTTAAATTATGATATTCTTATTTTTTATTTAATATTGTTTGTGTAGTGTTTGATAATTGAATATTTTGTTTTAATTGAGATAATTTAGAGTTTGATTCAAGCAATTAGGTATGTTTTTATGCAATTGATGTTATTTATGAAATCAATTAGGTTCAAATTAGATAAATTAAGGTTTGTAAAATAAAGAAATTAGGGTTTGTATTGAGTTTTGAGATAAATTGAAATGATTGGATATTTTGTTTGAATTGAGATAATTTAGATTTTAATTTATACGATTAGGTATGTTTTCATGCAAGCAGTGTTATGAATGTCAAAATAATGACAATTAGGTTTTGCATTAGGTTTTGGGATAAATTATTGTAATTGAATATTTTATTAGAGTTGAGATAATTAAGCTAATTTAGGTTTTAATTGATGCAATTGAGTATGGTTTCCATGCAATTGATGTTATGAATGTCGATATATGAACAATAATGGTCTTACTCATCTGTTTTTAGAATGTTGAGTTGATTGCCCGAGTCGTATAATGCTATTGGTATAGATACAAGCAACACATCGCATGCTATTAATTAACGGGATAAACATGATAATTATAATTGGATGACCCATAATCTCCATTACATAGTGCAGTGGGATGCACGAAGAGATGCAATCTTTATAGAGGTGCAATCTATTATTTCATATGATGAATTCATAGAGTGTTATTGGTGTATAATGCTACATTTTATCACACCAAACTCGGTGCAAGTTCCTTTATGTGAGAATATGGAGTATGAGTCATTTGAACCATAGATGCAAAATGTTATAAGTACTTCATACATTTTATAATTAATATGTGAAGTTAAATGTGTTTTATTTATGAATTAATAACTATATTTGCTGAAAATCTAGTTGACAATTTTTTATGAGATGGTTGAGAAACTGTTAGTGATCTTTGTGAGATTAAGATAACACTCTTGCTCGTTATTATGCATCTCGTTAGTTTAACTCATATCGCACTACATTTCAGATACTTGGAGAGATAATGTTATGTCGGTGTATGAGATGAATCAAACACTAGAAAGTCATGTTATTGATAAAGTTGACCCATTAGCTCATCATTGTAGACATAGACAAACTAGGATATATGTACAATAGAATTATGTTGTGTTATTTTCTTAGACTCTGTTTATTTTTGTATTTCAAAAGTATTTTTTAAAAATTTAATTTAATTTAATTTTTCTTTGTTTCAATTTTTTTTTGTTTCCAGATTATTTTGATGCACTAATGTTAAAAATATTTTTTTAAATAAAATTATTTCATTACATTTCTAAATAAAAAATACTTTAAAAAACGACTATTAACAAAATACCAAATGAACTCTTAGTTACGCATTTGTATTTCATTATTTTTTTATAATTGTTTTGGACTTGTCAAGGCGAGATTTTAATATTGTCTTTTATATTATGATATTTTAAATTTATTTTTGACAAGTAGATATAATATAAAATCATAAATTTATAAGTGAGCATACAATCAGGGACAACAAGTTGTTTATAATTGCCAAAAAAAAATTATAAATTAATTAATATGATGACATTTACAAATGAATAAATATGACATATTGTAATGCTATGTTATTACAAAGATCAATTAACTAATATTATAATGAACAAATGAAAACAACGTTAACATATTACATGAATGTAAATAAATTTTAATGTGGTTTTTTATGATTTTTTAAACCTAATAATATGTTGTCCATTTTTATTCCTTGTATTTTTGGGTTTGAATTTCGTATTAGTAGTGTTTAAGAATTACAGGTTTGTATTTAGAGTTTAAGGTTTAGATTTAAAAATTTCAGATGTAAGGTTAGAGATTATCTGTCTAAATTTTTGAATTAAGAGTTTACAATTTATTGTTAGAAATTATGACTTTAAAGTTTGAGTTTAAGAATTTATAGTTTAAAACTAGGAATTATGGATTTTAGGTTTGGATTCAAGAATTTAGGGTTTATGATTACAAGTTATAATTCTGGGGTATGAATTTATAAGTTTAGAGTTTAGATTCAAAAGTTTGGAAAGATTATAAGTTTAGAAGAGATTTGAAATTAGAGTTAGTATTTATAGTTAAGGATTAGGAATTTGAGATTTATATTTAAAATTAATTTAGAGTTATAATAGTTTAAGTTATGTATTTGAAATTAAGATAGTTTAAAGTTTATATTTTAGATTAAATTATAGTTAATTCAAGGTTATACCAGGTTAGAGCATATTTAAAATTTTAAATAAAAGTGTGAATCTCAAATGCCATTGGTATGTTTAAAAGCTTGTCTAGGAATGTGATGTTTAGGAGTGTAATTATAATTATTTTTTAAATAATTTTTTATGATAATATAGATTAGTAATTTTTTTTATTTTTAAATTTTTTTTTATTATTTATATATAAAAATGATTTTAAAACATATTAATTTAAAATAAATAAATAAAATTTAATTTTTTTTTAAAATATTTTTAAAATATAAAAACAATCAATCCGTAAATCGCGCAAATGAGTTTTCTCCGCAAATGACGCAAACGAGTTTCGTGCCTTTGACTTGTAAATTTTGCTGTTTCCTAGTACTTTTTTCCGCAATGCTAATTTACCAATTTTTTTTTGGCCTGGGTGTGTAATAAAAAGGAAATATGCCTGGACTATACGATAAAAGGAAGAACTTAAAAAACAAATTAAAGTACAAGGACAAGATTAAAAACAATTAAAAAGTAGAGGGAGGTACAAAGGATTTGAGCTCTTTACAGTTTACACCCACACGAACTCGACTCCACTTCCTTGAGGCTTGAGGTTGAGGATCTCTCTCTCTCTCTCTCGTCTCAAAAACCATCACCTTGAACTTCCTTACCCTATCTGATAGATACACATTTACTGCTACACTTCACACACACACGTACCTAAAGTCAGTATCCCTCTCTCTCTCTCTCTGAGTCTCGCCGTTTGGATTCAATTATGGCTACTACCACCGCCATTAGAAGAACACCAATTGTTTACGCCCTTTTAGCCTTCTTGTTGTTACGATTCTCCTCCTCCACGGATACCCCTCCTGAACAATCACCATCTCCATCTCCTCAGCAATCCGATTCACCATTACTATCTCCTCCTCCTCTTCTTCCACCCCCCCCTCTCTCACCAGAAACCGGATCTCCCTCACCGACGACATTGGCATCCCCACCAGCATCACCTCCTTCAGATCTGACGGTTCATGTGCCCGCACCGGCTGAGAATGTTCCAGATCCGTCGGTGGCGAGCGATATAAATGTGAAAGCAGGAAGTGGGAGTGAAGACGATGAAGAAGAAGAGTCCGAGGGAATGAGTGGAGGGAAGAAGGCGGGGATAGCAGCAGCAGTTATAGGGGCAGCTTGTTTGGTTGGACTTGGAGGATTGGTTTATAAGAAGAGACAGGATAATATTCGAAGGTCTGCTTATGGTTATGCTGCTAGAAGAGAGCTTCTTTGAATTTTATTTTATTTTATTTTTTTCACTCAAGATTTCTGCATACGACGACGATTCCATTTTAATCATTATTTAGGTGACCAAGTTAATGCGATATATTTCTTTGTTTTCTTTTCCAACAAAAAAAAAATCAAATATAAAATTAGCAGTGAAAAATGTAATGTTCCGCAAATTATTTTGGAGGTTAATGTTTTTGCAGTATACTCCTACTATATTGGTTTGGATAGATTGCGTATGTTTGATTTTAGTCTGGAAGATAATGATAATTAAAAAGCGCAGAAGAAAAATTAAACTGAAGGGAAAAAAATGCATTTTTTAAATATATTAATGCAAAAAAAAAAAATATTTTTTAAAAATATACAATGATCAAAATTCCAAATATATATATTTCGTTCACTTCCCTTTTCTTATTAATTTGAATGGAAAATACGCTTCAAAAAGAAAAGTAAAAAGATTTATTTTCCCCTCTCCTTTCGTTTATAGTCATAATTTTAGCATAAAAAATTAAGCGTAATCTCATCTCCATTTTCATTATACACTCTAGATTTACAATTTTTATTTTACCGTAATTAAAAATAAAAATTTGATAAATTATATTTTATTAACTTATAAAGTTTAAATTATTAGATATTATTTAATAAAAATTAAATATAAAATAATAAAATTCTTTTCAAGCAGTTTAAGAATTTAAGATAGTGTTTTAAAAAAATTATATAAATTATATTTTAGAATTTTATTTAGTATAGATTATTAAATTGGATATCAAAGTTTTATTCATTAAGTTTATTTTATTTAATAAAAATTAAATATAAAATAATATAAATATTAAAATGTAAAGATTTTCACTTAAAGAACTCCATTCTATTTAATAAAAAATAAATAAAAGATAAAACAAATCCATATTAGAAATATGATAAAGCATTATATAAATTATATTATAAAACCTTATTAAAAAGGTTGAGTTATTGATTGGATGTAATAGAAAGATTTAATAACTGATATGCTTACTATACTGAGGAATCATGTAATTGTTGAGAGAGTATGCAGTACAGATTGAGGATGGGATACAACATAAATAATAAATTACATTGACAGGTATATTTTCCGATGTAGTGATTGACTGTTGTGCTGTATCATGGATTTCTGCCTTTGTTTATTCTAAGATTGTGGAACTGGAACTATCTATCAGTTTACCCTTCAGCAGGAGGATCTACCCAGCAGCCATTATCTTTAATCAGCTGGATCAAGGCGCCAGTGGCATGCTCCATTTCAATTCCACGCTTTACCACCGTCTGACACAACAGATTCCAACTTACCATCAATGTCACCCACCCATCAATCACTCGTTGAAGATGATAAACAATAAACATGGACATACTTCCTAAATCTCTCTGTAATCTCTCTGTGAGCATGTCTACTCGAAATTCATCCTCATATCCTAACATAAATCGGCTAAGGACTAATAGGAGAGCCTAAACAGTCACTGAAACATAAACTATAGAGCATTATTAGCACGAACAATATTCATTACCTTTCCAACATAAAGGTCAATCTTTCCAGGGGCACCACCGACGTACCCAAAATCTGCATCAGCCATCTCCCCAGGGCCATTCACAATGCAACCCATGATTGCGATCTATGACAGGAAATGTATGAAGACAAATTACATTTTTTACTGGGAAATGACAAGGCTAAATGAATTAAATCGAACAATAATGCAAAAGTATTAGGGGATCACCGAGACACCAGGCAAATGTGATGTCTTTTCCCGTATTTCTGCACTTATCTCTTGAAGATCAAACAAAGTTCTTCCGCATGAAGGGCATGAGACATATTCCTGATGAGGTTTCAGCAATTCTAGTAATCAATGAAGACCTTAATCTGTGTAAGTGTGTCAACTCGTGTTTTTTATGTTTTTTTTTTTTTTCATTTTGAAAACAAACTTCATACCGTCTTTGTATTTCTCATCCTGCAACCTTGTAGTAAGTTGAAAGATGTATTCCTGAGAAAATCAAAATCCTGGTCTGGGGCTTCTACTAGGACACCATCTCCTAGACCATCTACTAAAAAAGCTCCAGCATCTGTACCAGCACCAATGACCAGCTCATCCCTGCAAAGAGAAGAAAATAGTATAAGCTAAAACAACTGATACATGCATCGCATTCAATGAATATTACATGTTTCATGATCACCTGCGAACCCCTTTTGGAAACTGAATATGGTGAATCACAGGGACACTCAAAGCCTTGTCTGCAAGATACTCAAATAATCTGCAGCCAAGATAGAGTTCGAACTGTCAAGACTAAGGGAGTGTTCACAAGACAGCGAAAAACCCTGTTGCAGATAGGAAATAACACGAAAAACAAATGAACAATTAATAGAGGACTCATTTTTATCATGTTGAGTCACTAGGTACACCCTAGGCATTAGCATGGATCTACTCAGCAGCATAGTTAACACTCCTGCCATAAATGCCTAACAGGCCATGGTAGCTGAAGCTTGACACAATCAACAACAAAATGGTTTGAAAAAGAAAGACTTTTCTCAGGCATACATTATCTACATGTGGATGTACTGATGGTTTGGTATTACCTTTTCAATTAAAGACCATATTATAAAAATTCAAGTGAGCAGCGGAAATACCTCCTTGCTGCATGCACTCTGCCAATCTTATCCTCTGAAAGGGGTAGAACATGAAGAATCATTGTGGCATCAACATGTTTGAGAATTTCCAATTCTTCACAGGGCCCATCGCCACGTAAAGACAACCAAGCGTGTACCTGAGAGGTAAAAATTGAATGGCTCAAAGTTCTCAATAAAATTCAGCACAGAAAATAGAAGAAATGAAGACATTGAGCATAAGGACCCAACATAATATGGCAATTTTTGAAAAGTTGTACCTTCTGGCAAAAGCTTGTAAGCACCAGTAGACAGCTCCTTAAGGTTGACAAGAAACATGGCATTGGGTAATGGCTTCTTTAGCTGCTCTGATAAAGGAGCTATTACTCCCATACTAACTTCTATCAACCTTTTGAGAGCTAGCCGCTAGTCATGATACAGAGTATAAACATCTAGTTATCCTGATTCTTTAGTAAATTTGTCTAATTCTGAAATGAGGCATAACAAATCAACGATGAGATTTTGGGGCGGGGGTTGTTTTTCCCAATCAAATGAAGCAAGAGACAGTTAGGATTCTTACAGCATCGTTATCATCCACTGGTGGGAGCTCTCTCAAAAATATTGAGTTAACTGTTGCCAGATCCTTAGATGCAATTCTTTTTCTTAGTATTTTTAATTATTTTAATATGTTGATGTTAAAAATAAAAAAATATAAAAAAATATTTTTATATATTTTTATAAAAAATACTTTTAAAAAACACCATATACATTAATAACAAACACACGTAAGTAGGATTAAAAATATAAACTTGTTGTTAGCATTGTTAATTGACAACTTTTTTTTAACCAATTTTTTTCTCAGTAATAATAATAATAATTAACAAAAGTTAATTAAAAAGGGAAAAAAAATGTTTATTATGAGATGATTCTTATTTATTAAAATAGTGTAATGATTATCCATATTTAAAACACACTAGTATGCTTAAACATTATGTTTTTTGATATAATAAAAAAATTAACCCTGCGGGTGATGGATGGCGGTGCATTTAGCTAGTAAAACAACTAAAAGGGGTTACATATTTTTTTACTTCTATCACGTTAGTATTTGGTTTGTTGGTCACTATCATTAAAACTATTTTGGGTAATCTCAAGAAAAGAAATAAAAACAATTTTTCTACCATATATATACATATATGGAATCTTTACGTACGTGACGCATGTAATTGATGCAGGACAGCCATTAATAAAAAACTCACCAAACCAATGCCAACTTATGATCGTGCTTTGCAACCAAACACATTTCAGTTTTTTATGAGCGCGCGCATTGGCAAATGATTTCAGTTTTTCCACTTTCTTTTTGTGTCTTAAATATGTTACAGATCAATTGTCAAGATATAGAAGTAGTAGGAATGGAGTTTGTGTGCATGTGTGAAAGAGTGGCGATTCGGGAATTCAATCTTAAATTTTTAATGACAAACTCGAATCACAAAAATGACAATTATTGGAAAGGTGTCACCATGTTGATGATCGGCACAGGCATACGTTCAAATTCAGGTCGACCTATCAGCAATGTCTCACTCCCACACATACAATTAATTGATGTGTCACAAGGTAAACACCAGAGCTGCCATATGTATGCCAACCCCAAAGAGTACAAGATTATGATGCAAAACAACAATTACCCCGTCAGAAGCATCCTTGGGAGCAACAGGAGACTCTGCAACAGGCTTTGCTGGTGCTGGAGCTGGAGGAGCCGGTGGAAAAAGATCTTTAGGAACTAGCACTCTGTCAACCTCATAAATAGCAACCTGTTTGTCCGTGTATATAGTATTTGATATGCTTGTTTTGGTTAGCCCTGAACTTATTTTCACTGAATTATCACTGGTGCTTATCGTGAGCGGGAACTTACTATCTGATCCTGCCAGTGTTTTTACAGGGTTACTTAGAGTCTGGAAATCGGAAGTTGAAAGAAATCTCGGTAGTATGTGAAATTGCACAAACTCGAGCTTTTCTCTATCGTTTAAGGAGCCTACAGCTCCAGCAACTTGGCTTGAAAATGCATTATCATTTGGTGCAAAGATGGTTATGCCATCGGTTGAGCTGTTAAGCTGGGAGAATAACTGGGTATCCACATGGGTAGCTTTCATCAGGCGGACAAAGGATAAGAAGCGGCCAGCTTTTAAGAGGATGCTGATGGTGTCCGTCGGGACAGCTGTGGGTGGCGGTGGCACTGGTGCCTTTGTCGGAGTCGCTATTGGTGACTGGGCTGATGATTGGCAAAACGTTTTGCTGCAATTATGGAGGAAGAGGAGTGACAATAATAAAATAAATTGTTGCATCTTTGGACAGCGGTGCTGTGGCCTGTGCTGTATAAGAAGAAGAAAATATATATGAAAATAGAAGAGTATATATTATAATTGATGTTTTGTTTCTTCGAGGGTTTGAATTGCAAAGAGCTAGGGAGGGTGTTCTATATATATAGTAGCAAGCTAGCCAAGAAAAGGCGTTGTATGCTCTTTAGTTTAAAGCCAGTAGCTAATCTTTGTCAAGAAAAGGTGCGAGGTATCCACTTGCTAAAACCTTTGCTAGTTATACATTATCTAATTACTTTGAGAGGTGACGAATCCTAATATCAAAACATATTAATAATGACGATCAATTGCTATACATTACCTAATCTCTGTAAGCAACTGGTTTGCTTGCGAAGGCAGCAAAACCATGATGATGTTTACAGGGGGTGTAATGCGAAACAAAACGGCTCTGAGGTCTGTCTGCATCAAAAAGAAACTCTTAACTTTAGCTGCTGGGAAGAGAAATGGTAAATTTAATTTAATTTTTTTAAGTTTTAAGGATTATCTGAAATTTAGGTATATATATATATTATTCAAAGATTAGATATTTTTCTCAATTTTGAATAATTACATTAAAGCTGAGTTGTCGTAAATAAATTATTTAAGTGTTCGGCTTTTAATCATAATCCACGTAAGTTATTAATAAGAAATTTCATAAATCTTTTTAGAAAAAAGATTTTTATACTTTAAAGTGCTAACTTTTTTCTTTTGTGTCTTAGCTATTTTTGTATTGTACTTATTTTCTCATTGAAAATGAGATGCATAACATTTTATTTATAGAAAAACCTAAAAATTTTATAAATAATAAAATATTATTTTTTCTCTTGAATAATATCATATATATTATTTCAGGATAATTTTAGAAAATTATTCAATCACATCCCTACTTGATCTTTCTAGGTCTAGAATTGTAATCCCTTGTGTCAATTACAATATAATCCTTAATTTCTAAAACTTATTTACAATTAAGTCACATTTGATTAATCATCTCATTTTAATTTTTAACTAGTGATTCTTATTTGTGTGACCCATTTTATTTTCTAATAAGTTAACCCAAATATAAATTATAATATTAAATAAATTAAATAATTTAATAATTGATTGATATATATTTTAAGATCAAGTACAATGTCTAACAGTCTGTCATGATCATCAAAATATAAAAAAATTTATAAGTGATTTGATTTGACACTTCAATAACCAACTTCTCCATGTAATTATTATTCCTTTATCATGAATATTTTTATTTAAATATTATAACATAGATCATGTCTGCTTTGTTAGATTATATTAGTTCTTAATATAATAATTATCAATTATTTAAATAAAATTTTAAAACTCCTTTTAATACTCATTTCATATCAGTCAAGGATTTTACAATGCTTTTCTAGAACAAATAAAATATTTTTTTTAATTTACCTAGTGTGATGCACCATCTCTTAATTATCCAAATATCTTCATATTATTTATGTTACACCAAATATCTATCCATTTGTTACTCTTGATTAAGATGAAAAAGTTCATGTTGCTTAGGAAGTAACAAGTGATATCCTATTAGTTATTTCTTGTATTCACCTTTTAAAAATAATTGATACAACTAGGAGAGAAAAATTTTAAGTGGATATATTTCTATAATTTTTTATGGGTCATGGAGTAATGAGTTTTATTTTTCCTTTTTTCTTCATGTTCATCTATTTCTTTAAAGAGAGCTAGAGAGTAATTAATAGGATATCAATAGTTATTCTCTAAGCACCATAAATTTTATTAATGAGGACATCATTTAATCAGAATCAAATTATAATCCATTCCTTAGTCACCACGTCCATAGTGAATAAATATCCCTTTATACTAAGTCCTTAGTTACCTTCTTCAGGAACTAAATACGCAATTTATGTTATATCCTTAGCTACTAAAATTTTATAGCGACTAAGTATCAAAACCATATTATAATCATAGTTGCCATTACTATAGTTGTTAAGTAATATCGTAAAATGATAATACTAACAAAATTTACAAAATATAAAAGTGATACTAATATAGTTTTATCAAATAACAATAATAAACTGTATTTGAATCATAAACCAAAAACTCAAAACAAAACCTAACTAAAACTAAAACTTAAAATATCCAATAAGTCTTAAACAATAACTAATGGGCTGCCCATTAACCCAATTTAAAAATAGAATCCAAACTAAAATTAACAAGTTCAAAATTAATGAAAAATAATTAAAAAAAAACAAAAAACCTAAATACTAACATAATTCAACATGAAACAACTTAAATAGCCCAAAATAAATGCCTTCCTTGTTTTAAAACCCTTTATAGCTTAAATTAGTACCCTAAAAGGTCAAAGATTGTTCTAGCCACCTTTAATTTCCCAAATAGACAAGGAAAAATCATGTTTTAATTTCTGAATTAATTTCTTAATAATTCAGAATCCTTGTAAAATATAAAAAAATAATAACAAAAAATGTTTCATTTTTCTTACCGTCTTTATTGCTCTACCACATGGAAACTCCTAAAACATAAGCATATAAACATTATCATCAGCCCCCCTTTTTTTTTATGTAGTTAGGATATTTAAGAAATCCTTATAATAAAAAGAATTTAAAACAGTAATTACTCCTTACTAAACTAAGAATATTGGCTGCCAAAACCCATATAAATAATTAAGCCTTATAACTAACTCAATAGAATGCCCAAACATGCCTTCCAAACTGTCACCATGCAAACTTAATGAGCCTTGAACCAAACTAAAGCTAGGCTGGCTTGATTGGGCTGAGAACATCATCAATTTTGTTGGGCCGAATGGAGCTTTAATTTGTACCATATTACATTGATTACAATGATTACAAGGGTAAGGTGATAATTGCATTCCACTATGCAAAACACTATTTTAAAATTAAGTTAATCAGCTAAAACGATTAACATTTCAAACATGCTTCAAAACATAGTTAATAGTGGTGGATGAACTTGCCACGTTATATTTAGGTCAATTCAAATGATCAATTTCATAGGGAAATATTTCTTCATGTGAGAAATCAATAAATATAAGGTTATTTACTTTAAAAATAAATGTCCAATAAAAATAGTTATTGTTGTCATACAAATAAAAATAAGCTAAAATTAATTGTAAATAGCATGATAGACCAATAAATTCATTAAAAAAAACTAAAACTGCTAAGCCTTTCACTGTAGCAATCCACAATGAAAGACTGAGTTGTTTTTTTTTTTTGAGCTGCTTTTTTATTTAAAAAATTGTTTATTTTTTTTTTTTTGTTTTTTATGCCTTTCAATTTGTTTTTCTTTTTTTTTAATATTTTTTTTAATTTAGTTTGTTAATGTTAATTTTTTTATTTAGTTATCAAACTTTCATGACACTGATCCCGAGTTTAAAAGGTTAACTTGATTTAACGAGTTAACTCAGATTTTTTTTTAATTAATTTTTTTTGTTTACTTTAGTTTGTTAATGTTAAATTTCTTTTTATTTAGTTATTAGACTTTCATGACACATATTTCAAGTTTCACGGGTTAACCCGGTTAATTTTGGGTTAACCCGTCCATTTTTTTTCTTTTGTTAATGTTATTTTTTTTATTTAATTATTAGATTTTTATTACACGAATCTCGGGTTTAACGGATTAACCTGGTTTAACAAGTTAACCCAGAAGTTTTTTCTGTTTTTTCTTTTTAATTAATTTTCTTTGTTCAGTTTAGTTTGTTAATATTAAATTTTTTTATATTTAGTTATCAAACTTTCATGATACATATCTCAAGTTTTACGAATTAACCTTGTTTTACATGTTAAACCTGTTATATGGGTTAACCCATCCATTCTTTTTTCTTTTGTTAATACTAAAAAAAATTTTATTTAGTTATCAGACTTTCATAACATGAATCCTGGGTAAACAAGTTAACCTGGTTTAACAAGGTAATCAAAAGTTTTTTTTTTCTTTTTTTTAATTAATTTTTTTCGTTTAGTTTAGTTTGTTAATGTTAAATTTTTTTCTATTTAATTATCAGACTTTCATGACACATATTCCGAGTTTGACAGGTTAACTAAGTTAATTCTAGGTTAACCAGTTTATTTTTTTTCTATTTAATTATCATACTTTCATGACGTGAATTCTAGGTTTGATGAGTTAACCTGATTTGAAGGGTTAAACCAGTTAATTTAGATTTTTTTTCTTTTTATTCATTAGTTTTTTCCTCTTATTTTTTTATTTTTAATTAATATTTTTTGTTTAGTTTAGTTCATCAATATTAAATTTTTTTCTATTTAGTTATCAATTGATGCCTTTAATTTTTTCATTTTTTCATTTTTATGTCTTTGACTCTGGACTGCACAGTGCAGTCCACAGTAAAAAGTCTAATGCGTTTTTTTTTTAATTTTTAAAAAAATTTTGGTTTGTTTATGTTAAATTTTTTTCTATCTTGTTATAAGATTTTCAAGACATGGATCTCATGTTTAACAAGTTAGCCCAGTTAATTCATATTTTTTTTTCATTAGTTTTTTCTCTGTATAGGTTTTTTCTTCTTTGTTTTTCACTTTTTAACTAAATTTTTTAAATTTATTTTGTTGATATTAAATTCTTTCTATTTAATTATCAGACTTTCATGGCACAGATCTCAGGTTTGACGGGTTACCTAGTTAATTTAGATTTTTTTTTTATTTTTCTTCATTTGATTTTTTCTTCCTATAGGTTTTTTTTCTTTTTATCCAATTAGTTTTTTTATTTTTATTTTTTAATTTTACTTTGTTGCCTTTTTTATGCCATTGACAGACTATAATGAAAACCGATGCCTTTTGTTTTTTTGTTTTCATTTTTAATTAATTATTTTTGTTTATTAATGTTAAAAATTTTTATATTTAGTTATCAAACTTTCATGAAATGGATCTCGGGTTTAACAGGTTAGCCTAGTTAATTCTGGGCTAACACGTCAATTCTTTTTTATTTAGTTACCAAACTTTCACGACATAAATCTAATGTTTGATGGGTTAACTTGGTTTGAAAGGTTAACCCAGTTAATTCATATTTTTTTCCTTCTTCTTCATTAGTTATTTTCTTCATGTTGATTTTTTTTTCTATGTTTTTTTTCCCTAATCTATTTAATTATCACACTTTTATAATATGACTTTGCAACTAGACCCACATCCAAGGTTATTGGGTTTGATATTGCAGTGAAACACACTTAAACTTGAATCATGCAAGTTTATTATTATTATTAATATAATAAATATTACTCTTATGTCAGGCGTTGTAGCCAAACCTAAAACTCTTAAATATAGCTTTGTAAAAAGATTAAATATTTTTAAATTTTAATTTTTTTTATATTTTTTATATAAAAAAATTAACTTACAATATTACGCTAGTCATCTAACTAGTTATAGACTAAAATCAATAGGTTCAATGTAGGTCAGAAGGAAGGAAAGAAAAGGCAGTGATCGGCTAAGAGAACGATCAACCACAGGCAAATAGTCCATGTAATCAACCAAGATGAAGTAATCAACCATAAAGAAAAGACTCAAGTGATTGGCTATAATATCTAAACCCATATAAAACATGTAGAAAGTTAGTGTACATAATAGGCTGTGATATATGCATTAATAAAAAAAAAAAAGAGATAAGCTTTAGTTAGAATATACTCTTTTTTTTCAATATTTTTTCCAATACTTCTATATTTTTGTTGTTTAATGTGATATTTTAATAAATAAAAAATATCACTCATTTAGATTTTCTTTCCATAGGTTTTAGTAATATTTTTCTTTTCTTTTGAAGAAAAAACTCCAAGGTCGAGAAGAGAGAGTCGTGTATTGATAAATAGATTGTCCGTGATTTTAACTTACATGAGATTAAAAAATCGTACTTTATGTTTTCTTGACTTTCCCTTTAAACGAATTTCAAATCTTCTAAAACTTCACTATGCCTCTTTTCTATCTTTATTTTCAATTTGAGATATTCTATATGAAAAAAAAAACCTCAAACTTCTAAAATCCGAATGCTGGGATTTGCTTGATGTTATTTGACTTTGAAACACACCACAGCACATGAATTTCGTTTTCTTTTTTCTTTCTTTTTAGCTTAATGAAATTCTCAAAATACTTACTCGTATAAAACATGATAGTAAAATTAAGGGAGAATATGAGCAAAATTAAATCCATTCTTAGTTCATTAATCGCAAACTTGAATGTTACAAATTAATGTTACTGACAGGAAATTGTCAATTATTCAAAAAGCAGTACTGATCACCATAGATCTTTATCACCAGCACCATTGCAAACTCCATGAAATCATAGTATAGTAATAAAAACAAGAAAAGGGATCCATGTTACCCCTCTCGGGGGTATATATCTCATGAAAAGATTGCAGCAACCATACAGCTGACTGCAAGGAGCAAGGCATTATTATGCAGAATAAGTGGTGTTAGAGCACCAGAAATATCCTTAGGAGCGGTAGGACTTTCTACATCGGGAGCTGCCTTCCTTGGCTTTCCCAGTTCGGGTGCAGGAGCAGGAGCAGGAGCAGGAGGCTTAGGAGCAAAAATGTCCAAAGGAAATAGCACCTTTTCAATTTGATAAATAGCAAGCTGGTTATCAGTGTACACGGTGCCGGATATGCTCGTATTTGTCAGCCCTGTAGTTATGTTCACGAAATTCCCTGTGGTGGTAACATTCAGTGTTACCCTGGGACCGGTTCCCGCCTGTGTCCTTACAGGATTACTGACAGTCTGGAATTGGGAAGATGGTATAAATGCAGGTAGTACATGAAACTTCACCAACTCAGTCTTGTCTTCATCGTTCAGAGAGTTTAGAAAGCCTGCTTTGAGGCTTGAAAATGCGCTGTCACTTGGTGCAAAGATTGTTATTCCATTGTTTGTCTTGTTCAGCTCCTTGTTTAACTCAGTGTCTTCTGTTGTAGCTTGCATTAGGCGGACGAAGAGAGTGAAGTGGCCAGCCTTTTGCAGGATTTTAATGACGTCAACGGGGCCAGGTGATGTTGCTACCTGTGCAGATGGTGCCTGTGAAGGGGCCGTAGGGGGTGCCTTCACTGGGGTCGCAGGTGGTGGCATTACCGGGGCTGCCGCCGGTGACTGACCTAACGTTTTTGTACAATGGAGAAAGAAAAGGATAAGAGAGAATAATAAGCTTAAAGATTGTTGCCTCATCCTACACTCCTTGGGAAGAATGCGAAAATGTTCCAAATCTTAATTGGATTGCTACAAGCAAAAATGTTTGATGGTGTGATTTAAGGAGGACGTAGAGGGTTGGTTTTAATATTGGTGGAGAGAGAATCAAGTTAGGTGTAGTGTATAATGTCAGTTACACAATCACAGAAACTAGTTATCCTTATGCTAAAGGTACAGAGCATCACTTCGAGAGAGAGTACTGGCAGCTTGTAGTTAGCATGACAAATCAGGAAAACTAAGAGGATGTTTCAAGCAGGTGTGCAGACAAACAATTTAAACATGAATCTAGACGGAGATTGTCTTGTCCGTGTCAAACAGGAACCATAGCTATATTATTCACATAATCTTATGGCCATGATTTAATTAATTACCTGAAGAAAGTGCACACTTCACTTCATTTTACCTAATCAACAATTTGCTTGCTCAAAAATTTCAAGGGTAATCGTTACTAACGTTAGACACATGCATGGAAGAGTGTAACAATGGAAGAAAATTTAAACACAGTCTGATATTGGAGTGCGTGTCGAAAATGAATGAGAAACAAAAAAAAAACTATGTTGTTCTCACAAGTAAAAACTATGTCAATCCTCATGGGTAAAAGGGTTTTGCATCATAGATTTAGGAAATATATTCATGCACAAATCATTTAATGATAAATGGATTCCACAATGATCGTGACGCATACAGTGCATGCAGGTTCCTTTTTTAAGATTCTGAAATTAACAATTATATAAATATCTAGTAATCATTATATTAATATTCACAAGACTTGAATTGAAAAAGAAAAAAAAACTTTATGATCTCAATCTTTTATCATTATACCTGCTAAATCAAGTTTTTATTTATATATATATTGACATACTTTTCGGTAGACCTTTTGTCACTTTTGAAAACGAAGCTGCTCCTCAACGTACATATATTAAAATTAAATTGGAAGAGAAGAAGTATAGAAAAGAAGGGAAAAAACTTGAAAACAAAAAAATAACCTTACATTAAAAAAAATTCTGGAAGGATTTCAATGAATTTGTTTCTAAGAAAATAAAAAGAACAAAATTAAAACAAAGACTGACTTGGATACTAATTGATTCGAAGTCAAGATCAATACTCAATACTTCTTGACTTGCGCCTAGGATAATATTTAAGACTTCTAAATTTTTATATAGCTTAATTTAATATTGAAATTTTATTTGGAACGGATTCTTATTTTATCATGTGTAGCTTTACTGTATATTTGATAATGTGATATAAAATATTTTTTCTCAAAAAAAAATAAATTTAATATCTTTTTAAACCAAAAACACTTACAAAATATTTTAAAAAATATGAAAATAAAATGCAATACAGACTCTTACTTAATTATGTGTAGCTTTATTGTATATTTAATAATAAATTTAATATTTTTTTAAACCAAAAATAATTAAAAAGTATTTAATATCACGCTCTCATCGGATCATGAATTTAGTATACCAACTAAATTTAAGTTTTTCCATCCCTTTTTTAAAATTATTTTTTTTAAGTCACCCTTTGATATTTTATTTATTTGTTATTTAGCTTATATATGTATATATATGGATTATGAGGCTTTCTTATTCTTATTTAGTTTTTTGTTATTAAATAATATCACTGAGATTTTTTTAAAAATATTTATAGAGTATTTTTTTGTTATATTGATAAGTATTTATTTTTTTATTAGTTATTATCATTATTTTTTAATTTTTTATTGTTACTGACTTTTTTAAAAATTATATTATTAAATTTACCAAATTTATTTAAACTATTTGAATCAATAACTTAAATTTCAAATTTTTTTTATTCTATTGAAAATAGTATTATTATCTGGGCATTATTTTATACTAAAAAAAAAATTAACCCCATACATAATCAGCATCAGCCCAAGTAGTATGAATACACAGCAATTGATATAAACACGATTTCATCTCATTGGCAACAAGTCGGAGGACGAGGTATAGAAAAAGTTGGATAAATTGCATGTTTTATATTCTGACAATTTTTAATATTTTCCCGTTATTTTGTTTTAAATTTATTAGGTTCCTTAATATAAAAATTCATTTAGTATAGTCTCTCCATTGTAATTCTATCAACTTTCCGTTAAATGTGAACGTGTGTCAAAAATATAAAAAATTTTGCTCAAATTTTATTTAAAAAGAAATGAAATTAAAAACAAATTGGAAAAATTATAATTAATATAAAAATTAAAAAAAATTTAGAGCATGATAAAATATTTAGATATTATAAAATTAAATGACCCGTCTAAGAGTTTGAATATTGATAAAAATATCTTGCACGTTTTAAAAAATATTTTTTTTATTTCCCATGTTTTCTTAATATTTTTAAAATCATCCTCTTAAATAAAGAGAAAAATTTTGAGTAAAAAAAAAAATTGTAGCTTATAAAGACGGTTTTTCATATACATTAATGGGTTATTTAATTTACCCTTAAAAGTTTTATACAAATTAACTATAGAAAGACTAGCAAATAAAAAAACTATTTTTTAAAAATAAATATTAGAAAAGAATAATAATGTTTTTACCATATTTATATAATAGAATGCTTAACTGTATTTCCTAATTCCTGTACTAATCAATCGAGGCTCAAGAAAACATAGTTAATGGTAGTTATTTGTTTAAGAAAATTTAGTGAAAAGTAACATTAAAAAAAATATTTTTTTTTCCAAAAATATGTGTAACATATATTTTCTTAATTTACCAAGATTGTATGGTGGAGTCCAATAATGAAAGTGAGACTAATTTTAGTATAATTCAAAATTATTTATTATTTCAAAAAATTATTGACTATTACTGTTAAATATTTGTTTTTTATATATGAAAAGCTTAGTTATTTTATATGAATTTATAAAAGCTTAGTTTTTAATTTTAAAAGTTTAGCATTCTTGAATTTTTAAATTATCATAAGGATACAAGATTAAATTATTTCATATCCAATTGTGTTACAAGAATATCTTAGATTTAATTTAATTATTGATGATTGAAATTATATATTATGTGTACATGTTTTTTTTGTTTTAAATTTATTGCTAGTTGCATGTCTGATTAATTTAAGTAGCAGAAGCCCGCATTTGATTATTTGTTACTTGAAAAGCTTAAGTCTTGATTAAATTAATTCTTTATAATTATTTAATTATTATGAATCAATTGCACTTATTTTGATCCCAATGTTGTTATTATATGTTTATGATTAATTAATGTATGGATACTAAGTTAACTAAAAAGTAAAGATATGTAGAAAAAACAGTTGTTTTTTATTGTTGATTTATTAATTATCACGAACTAGATTAGAAAACATAATTATATTTAATTATTGATGTTTAATTAAGAATCATCTGTAGGTTAAAAAAACTTTTAGAGAGAGAAGGCATGAAGAGAGATTAGTAAGGGAAATACGTTGCTTTATAAGTCTGCCATCCACTGTTGGATCCGTTTGGGTTCTCAGTATGTTGTGTGCCCAGTTATACTCTACAAATTGACCTTTCAGATTTTGCTAATTTGTTGCAATTTAAGATATCTCACCGCCATACTATTTCCAGAAAACTGAGTTCAGGAGAACTATAGCCTCTAGTTTGGTTCTCGTTTGTTCCCCTCGGATCGGTTTCAGATTTCTTAAGGGGGTTTGCCTAGGTGTCTTCTTCTTTTTTTTCCCTGAACGGTGGACATCAGATTTGAACAGCCCTAACAAATTATGTTCTCCTGGGACCACATTCTATCAGTTTTAGACATGATTACCAGTTACCTGGAAACCGATTGACTAGTTTAGCAAACCCAGAAATTAGTCAACTGGTTTACCATAGCTGCTGAAAAAGCCTCCAGCACCATTGCCACCACCATAGCTATCAGTAAGAGTGAAAAATATAACTTTATATAACTATATTATGATATTTTTTATATATATATATATATTTTATTTTCTAATTATCTAATCCTAATTGGAATAGATTTTAGATTTACATATCATAATATATATTATATTACATGTAATTTTTCATACACAAGTTCAGCATCTTGGTTCATTCGGGAATGCTCCTAGCACATCAAGTATTCTCTGGGCTTGGCTTTTTTTAGTGGCTTTCACCTTTAACAACACTGCTGCAAGGCATATAGTGTATACACTAATAGGTAAATCCACAGCCAAGAACAGAACAAGTAAAACAGTTCTATCAAATTTGAAATCTTTATCACAATGAACGATTCACTTATTTGATCTACCATGAAACCAGATCGAAAGGAAGAGAGTATTTCCTGTGAACCAGATCTTATGGAGAAGCACTAGATTCTCCATGCAGACACTCATATCAAGGGACATCCAGGTTTTGAAGGTGGAATAGGGTGCGATTGGGAAGGGTTTTTACCGGTTTGCCATGTCCCAGAAACAATACCTTGTGGACTTCAGTATAAAAATTCTCTGTCAGACTAGGTCTAAGCAAACAGCCCCCTAAAAATTATACAGACTAAAGCAATGGATACACTTAATATCAAAAAGGATAGTAACAGTCTCATGTTGAGATCCTAGAGCAAATCAGCAGGTTCAGATTACATCGAGGATAAAGAGAAAATTCCAAAATATTACAAGAAAATAAGCCATGCCATGCAGCTTGTTTAAAATTCCAAAATATTACAAAAAAATAAGCCAGGCCATGCAGCTTGTTTAGAATTCCAAAATATTACAAGAAAATAAGTGAGGTAATATATTATTTGAGTTTCAATCATGGTCAGCCTCAGAACACGTCCCATAAAATGATTTAGAACTATTGCATGTACATGGCTCAAAACTTGATATAAATGTTCAATCAATAGCAATGAAACTAATCCAAAGTCTTAATGCCTACGTGAATTAAGGGAAGCAACCAGAGGTCCAAATGTCTGGTCCACAGCTTTGTTCCAAGCAAGTTCGAACTCTGAACGAAATTGCTTTCCAAATATGGGCTCTCCCAACTGTCAGAAAATCAAAGTTAAGACTATTAGAAATTTATGAACACAAAGGTTTGACTTTTCAAAGGGAATACGTTTG